AGATTCAAATTTAAGTGTTTGCTTAATTGTGTAAAATAATTGACATTAAAGTGATAAAAAAAACAACAAAATAAAATAAATAAATAAAAAAATGATTACTATAACATTTTCTATGTTCTATAACAATGTCTTTAATTCATCTCTGCTGTAGCACACTAAACCAAAGGCAAAATTTATAACTTTTATTTCCATTAAAAGCAGCAAAAATATATGAAACTTGAGTGGAAGCCGGCGGGGCTAATATAATTCAGGAGAATGCCAATTTAATAATGTCTAATGGCAATAATCATTTTGGATAATAAATATGTAAACGCATATGGCAGGCAGGCAGGCAGGCGTAGGGAGAAATCTTCCACTCACCCCAGGGGTGGCTCAAATGTGGAATACTTATGTGGCAGCTTCTTGTGGCCCTGTGGCATCCATTCCCCATGTGCCTCGCCCTCTATTTCTGTGTGTGCGCCACTCCATGAGTAAAATGACATTTGCAATTTTAAACACTTGAGACTGGAGTCACCCAAGGAAGGAATGTATATCGTCTGTGTGTGTGTGTGTGTGGTGTGTGCCTGTCAATGTCCCCAACTTCAGGCTAATGACAAATTTCCATTTATTACTCTCGTACTTTTTCGTTATTTCTCTTGTGGCTACATTCTGATTATTTATTAATTAAATTTGTTATGACACGACAGGATGCCAAGTCATTTGTTGCCTTCTTTAGCATGCCTTTCTGTGTTTTTGTTTTTGTTTTTGTTTTTGTTCTTGTGTGTGCCTTGGGCTTACGGCTCTGACCCAAACACTTGCGGCCAAGTCTATGGGGCTATTATTTGAGGGCTTAGCCCAGGACTTTGTTGCTGTTTTAAGCTATTTTATTGAGATTCGTTCCCTTGTCAAACCCTTTTTGCACACCCAAAATCATCGCATTGGAAGGGCTTACATTTTTAATGTTGAGCAGACCGGCTAAGCATAATTATGTTTGCCGAAGTTCGGGGACTTGCGAGTTTGGGCAATGCAGATGCCAGCCAGCTGGAGGAGATTTAAGATTCGGGCAGGTGAGGGGCAACATGTGTCGTCTTTCGAGTTTCGCTCCTAAATTAGCCTCGACACAATACGCAGTATCGATGGCAGCCTTCGTACCGAACAAACTTTTGGCTCTAAGATCCAGAGCAAACAGACTTGAGATCCACTTTTGTGTCCCTCATAGAATGGATGTCCTGTGCTGCGCTGCGCTCACTTCAGAATGTCTCAAGTGAGGAGGAGCCATGAAGTGTAATTCACTCGATGTTCAATATATTTTCTATGCCCGAAAGATATCTATTCGAAGAGTGTGCCTCTGCGCGTGGAGAAATATTGCTGTTGGAAAGTTTTGTGCCACGACAACGAAAGATTGCGAAAAATAACATTTTTTATTTCCACTTTCCGCTCTCCACTTCCCACTCGCCGCTCGCCGCTCGCATCGTTTTAATTTGTGCGAAATTAAGCAAAAAATAAACTCATTTTGTTGGCTTTTGCGATGGCGAAACTTTTTCGATAGCTGTCTGACAACAAAACCAACAAAAAAAAAAAGAAAGCACGAAAAAAGTAATGCTGGTTTTCAGAACACCGAAGATGGAGATACCCTTGGAGATGCATACATACATACATACATATGTATCTTCATTGCTCATACGTGGCAAACATATACTCGGAATCAAAATACCCTTTAGAAGAGTTTGCAGACAAAAAATCCTCAATGCCGGCTCGCACTTGCTGCTGGAAAAACTTTTAGCGGAAGTTGATGGCAGGAAAAGTCGAGTAAAATGTGCATGAAATTGTGTCTGCGAGAAGAAAAATCTATTCGATTGAGGAAAAATTGGAAAATGCCGCCAGCCGCCCGCCGCCCGCCGCCAACTCCCCGTCCCCATCCCATTCCCACTTCCCAGCCTAACCCTTACCCTAGGCACCTTGTCGGAGCCTCTGGGCTTTTCTATTACGCCATCTCTCAGTACGGGAGCATTCTTCTACCTCATCTATTCTCCTTTTCACTGGTTTTTGGGCGGCTCCATCGACTTGGTGCTGTCTTGAAGGGGAATGCAGGGGCAAGGGGCATGCAAAGCGCTGCCATCGGTGATTTAGTTGTTAGCCTGCGGACAAACATTTCATGGGTCGATGTGTGCCCAATTCAATCAACTGGCAGTGACAGACGGCAGACAGGCAGGCATTAGGCAGGGACGAGTGTAAGGATGCCCAGATACCTGTGTACCTGTCTACCCGTCTACCCGTCCACCCGTCCACCCATCTACCTGTGTGCAATTTTAATCAAAAATCGAATGTGTGCACCGCTCTGATATATTGCGACTCGACTGCGTTGGCATAATGGTGACAGCTCGGCAAATGAGCATTGAAAATGTCCAATGTCTGCTCGATTGGAAGCGAAAAATACTCGTGCATGTAACATTATTGGGAAGAGCTTCCCATCGCGAACCCAGCGAGTGGGTTCCGTGGGCAGCCTTTGGTGATGATAACGAACCGAGCTTAGTGCCGAAAAGCCTTCGACTGGTTGCACCAGTAGCCTCGCTGGCTGGTCTAAAGTGCCATCCATGGCAACCCACTGATTCGATTTCGCAATGGCCTCGTGCCAGGAGATGCATCCTCTCTCTCATCTCTGTGTGCTTGTGTCCTTGTTTCCCGGTTTCCATCCATTTGCCTAATTGTTCAGTTTGTTTTACGTGTAAGGCTACAAATTGGCCGAGACACACGTTTCCCCCAGACAGTCGAACGGACAGGAGTCGGAGTCCGTTCCTGGCCCTGGCCCCGCCCCACAGCTAAGCCAGGTATCCATCCCATACCGTTTACAAATGCACGTTCCATCTGCCGCTGTGCAGGAACCCTTCCCTGTCTCTCTCTGTGGCTCTCTGTGCACTGAGGGTTCATAATAATTTAAATGCTCGGCACACAGAGTGACATGGCAAAGACAAACAGAGGTCAAACTGAAGCGCCACGTTCCGTCAGTGTTGCGGCTGCTGTTGCTGTTGTTGCTACTGCTGCTGCTGCTGTTTCTGTTGCAACTGTAAATGGCTACGTGACCGGATGCAGTGCAATGGTTTGCATTTAAATCCAAACGCAGTGGCAACACAATTAGCACGACAAAGGGACTCGGACTCGGTCTCGGGCACGGGCACGGGCGGCACGGGCTCGGACTTGGGCTCCGCAACAGAGGATTAGACTGGTTGGGTGCTGCGGATGCCTTGAGTTAATTTGCCTAACCCCTCTCTTGGGCGGCAACAAAACGCTGTGCAAATAGGAGACTGGGGCCACAGTCTGACGGACCGAAAGGCTTGAGCCGGTCCTGCCGCCCGGCCAGACGGACGGATCAACAGCCAGGCAAACAAATGGCGTTGCAATTGAGCACGTTTCTGTCGAGTCCAGACTAGGACATGGAAATGAACTGCGACACTGTTTGGGGCGACAGTTTCGGAGTCAGAATCAGAGTCAGAGTTCGAGTGTGAGTGTGAGTGTGAGTCGAGGTCAAGTGGCATGCAGCAGTTGCCAGTACGTGTGCCTAATGATGTTGCAGAGAATGTGTGATGTGTGATGTGTGTCGTCTGTCTGCATGCAGAGAACAAGTAGGATGATTCCGGGATGTGTGTGGACTCCCGCTGTATTCAATTATCACCCCGATAACTCGCAAGTAAATCGTACACTCAATCGCTATCGATGTCATTCATTCATTCAAAGACCGCACCCCGAAAAAACTCTATTAGCTGAGCGGCAATTTGTAGGGAAATTCCAGAACGTCCTCCCCACTCGAAGCACCGGAACGTGCCCCTGGCTCAATGGCTTGACCAATTTTGATTGGAAACAAAACAGTTAGTGGCAGCCAGACCAAAGGAAATGGCCAAAAGAGAAGCTGGCCAATTCACGTGGAAGCGATCACTGTTGCGGCAGCCAATGGATATGCCTATGGAATGCCCCAATGCATATTGAAGAACGAACGGACGGACACGCACGCACGCAAAGTCCTGTATCATAGGCAACAACAAAAATGAAAGAAAAGGAAAAGCAAAAACAAAAGCAAACTAGAAAAAATAGAATGGAAATTAAGGAACAGGAGGCCCACACGCAGCATACGGCAGGGCAGGGACAGCAGCAACAGCAGCAGCAGCAGCAGCAGGGCCATGCATCTGGTCCGGTTATCGTCCTGGGGCTTTAGGTAAACCACAAAAAAGATCAACTTTGCTGGCCCTCCTCTGTTCCTCTTCCTGCCTGCGTCTCTGTTTCTCCATTTTTTGTTGCGTTAGTTAGTGGAAGCAACAACAGAAATAACAGCAGCAGCAGACGCGCTCCGGCATAAAAGAAACATAGCTAATTTGCATAAAATGTGGAAATACAGCCCAAAACACACACACACACACACACACAGACACACAGAGATAGAAAAGGGCTCCATCTGCAGGTGGAGGGGAGCGGGGCCAAACTTTGCTGACGGAAATCGAGTAAAGCCGTAAGTGGAGAGCTGTCCTCCAGTGCCCGGGTCCAGGTCCAGGTCCAGGTCCAGTGCCCGGGTTCAGGCTCAGGTCCAGCTTCAGGTACGGTTACACATTTTGTGTATTTGCCAAAAACTTTGGCACAAAATGTACAAAACACTAAACTAAGTGAAAACCACCGACCAAAGTCCGACCCGCCTTCGTCTTTAGCCATTGCGGGCGGGCAGGCTGAAAATAAAAGAAACTTTTAGCCTGACAAAGTGAAAGTGCCCGCACACTGGGGAAGGGGGGATGGGGGGTATGTGTGAGCTCTGGCCACCATATTAGCGGTTTCTCAGTCTGTCCTACAGCGACAGATAAGCGACAAAGTTTGGGTCCAACTAGGAGAAACATTCGCATATCTTAAAGTTTTCCCTGAAAAGGAGACACAAATTATGCAAGGGAATCCTTTGCTGGTCTATTTGCTATTTTATCCCGAAAAGGGAGAGTATTTCGAGCTGTAACTGATGTCATATCTTTGTGCCTTCTTTGCCGTTTTAGCCTGGTCAACCAAACGATGCCGGATGCGGGCCAGATTCGAATGATGGTGGCCCGTGCGCTGAGCGTGTGGGAGAACAACTCCAAGCTGACGTTCCGCGAGGTGTACAGCGATCAGGCGGACATCCAAGTGCTCTTTGCACGGTACGTATTGGGGCTGGGCATTCGGGCGGGCATGGATGCCATAAAAAAACGCGTGTCTTTAGTGCCATAAACATGGGCCACCAGCCAAAAAACCCATAAAAAGTGCACTTAAAACCAGGCAAACGATAAATAAGCCACGTATTAAACCACGGAGCTGGAACAGGAGTTGTAGCCGATGACGATACCGATGATGGAATGCCAGCAATGACAATGTCGATGAACATGCCTCCAGCTGCATGGCTGTGGCAGTGGCTGTGGCAGTGGCAGTGGCAGTGGCATGGCGAATCAAAGAGTTTATGTGGCAGCTGCTTGTTCTTAGATAAGCTGTGAATATGAGCTGCCTTTAGCGTTGGTCGTAATTTTTATGCAATCCCGGAGACACATGAACTAATCCCGTAACGATACCCCCCCACTCCCCAATTCTCTTTGCTTCTTTCAGTCGCCAGCACGGCGATGGCTACAATTTCGATGGTCCCGGCCAGGTGCTGGCCCATGCCTTCTATCCTGGCGAAGGACGTGGCGGCGATGCCCACTTCGATGCGGACGAGACCTGGAACTTTGACGGCAACGCGGATGACAGTCGAGGTGCGTGTGGTACAATGTAAATGCAGTTTACATCATAATTGCATTCACCTTTTGACGTGAATTAATTAAATTGGGTTATGATCAGGTTTCGCGGTCATGTGGCAGCCACACTTCGGGCAAAATCAATATAAATTGCATTCGCGGCGACCGCAGCAACCATGACTGGCGACGCCATGTCCCATGGCTCACGGCTCATGCCTCATGCCTCGTGCGTCGTGCCGCATGCCACATACCACATGCCGCTGGCGTTTTGTAATTTAGCACAATAAATCTACAGCCCCTCGGGCCACGCCCTCGTGCACTGTGCTTCGGCATTTTTAATGGCTTTTAATGCCAATAAAAAATTGTCAGCATGACGCGTGACGTTGGCAGCCATTTTAAAATGTTGCAAGCGTCGCCATTTTTATGCCACTTACAAAGTCGTCAAGGCGACGACGACGACGACGACGACGTCGCGCTGACTTGGCCCTGACTTGGCCAGGACTCCCTGCCACTGTCACTCCCTGCCATTAACCAGTCAGCCGTATTTATGTTGCATTTCATTTGATTTGCTGCCATTCCTTGCCGTTGCAGGAACCAACTTTCTGAATGTGGCGCTGCACGAACTGGGTCACTCCCTGGGACTGGGCCACTCCTCGGACTCGGATGCGGTCATGTTCCCATGGTACCAGAACAACGAGGTGGATGGCAAGCTGCCGGACGACGACCGCACTGGCATTCAGGAGCTGTACGGCTCCAAGGAGAAGACCTGGGGACCCTACCGCCCACGCACCACCCCGAGCACCACGACCACCACCACCACGATGCGAACGCTCAGCTACTATCCCCAGAGGCCCAACAATCGGCCGCGGTATCCACCCAACTACGATCCCAACAGGGATCGCGATCGTGACTGGGAACGCGAACAGGAGCGGGAGCGGCAGAGACAGCAACGGGAGCGGGAGGAGGAACGGGCACGCGAATGGGAGCGAGAGCAGGAGCGCGCACGAGAACGCGTAGAGAGAGAGAGGGAGAGAGAGAGACAGCGTGAGCGGGAGAGGGAGGGGAGCGCACCACCACAACCACCCCCTCGAGGACGCCATCAACGCCTTCCCAGCAGCCAAGGCCGCGACCGTATCCAACCACGGGACAGCGCCAGCACCAGCACCACCACAGGCAGCACAAGCCGCGCAAGCCGAAGCCCGACAGCTGCATGACCAGCTACGATGCCATTTCCATGATACGCGGCGAACTGTTCATCTTCAGGGGACAGGTAGGCTGCCACACGCACAATCGAAACGCAAGCGGTGACTCACTCAACTCTTCTTCCTTTGCAGTTCCTTTGGCGCATCGGGGCACGCGGCATGTATCCTGGCTACCCCACGGAAACGCGCCGCCATTGGGCAGCTCTGCCCGAGAACTTCACCCGAGTGGATGCTGTGTACGAGAACAAGCAGCGCCAGATCGTGTTCTTCATTGGTGAGAAGGGAGACATTGGTCCCGGACCCTGAATTAACATTGGTTTCCTTTTCCGCCCCCCAGGTCGCCAGTACTATGTGTTCAATTCGGTTAACTTGGCCAACGGCTATCCCAAGCCACTGGCCAGCCTGGGGCTGCCCCCGACACTGTCCCACATCGATGCCACGTTCGTGTGGGGCCACAACAACCGCACGTATTTGACCAGCGGCACCCTCTACTGGCGCATTGATGACTTCACGGGCCAGGTGGAGCTGGACTATCCGCGCGACATGAGCATTTGGTCGGGCGTGGGGTACAACATCGATGCCGCCTTCCAGTACAGCGATGGCAAGACGTACTTCTTCAAGAATCTCGGCTACTGGGAGTTCAACGACGATCGCATGAAGGTGGCCCACGCCAAGGCGAAGCTGTCGTCGCGCAAATGGATGCAGTGCGCCCGCAGCGTCAACGAAGTGGACGACGAGCAGCGCTATACGGCGCCCCTGGTCTCCGGCGAGGAAGAGACAACGGAGGCGAGTGGCACAAGGGAACGTCGGCTCAGTCTCTATCTGCTTCTGGCCCTGCTGCTCACCACAGCATGGAGCAGTTAAGACTCAGCGGAGGGCTTAGGTTTAGCCATACTTAGCAATAAGCGCCACGATTCGCCTCATTTGGATTCGGATCCCTCATTTTCCACAACCAGCACTTACATACACACATAAATACATATATACATATATATACATATATATACGAGTATATCTAGATATTACTTTGAGCAGAGCGCAACTGTGTGACAGTCTGGCGCTTGATTGCCCCCAAAGACGACACCCGAGCGGCCTTTTATAGAATTAAGGGCACTAAAATCAGCAGCCAAGTGGCAGTCATCCATAGACGCAGAAGTCTAGGGCTCGCCACTTGCTGACTCATCCTTGGACACTTGCCAATCGTGGACACTGGGCGCCAATAGCACCAATAGCAGGGCTGTTATACCAGATCTATATACGATGCATAAGCTATATAGATATACATATAAAGATAAACATAAATATACATATACCTTAGCAATACGAGTATGTAGGTGTAGCAAATGCATATGCATGCATACCGGAAAAGTCGACCATTTAGGATAACCCATGATGGAAATTTCGGAACCACAACTGCCTTATAATTAAGTACAGTATTGCTTCTGAGTGACGGAACAGGCACGCATCCAGCTGAGAGCTGTGAGCTGTGAGTCATCTGCCTCCACCTGTCCTGCCTGTATCTATTTTTCATTTGACCGAACATTTCTAACTATTTATATATAAATGTGATATTATCATAAATTCGCGATGGTAAACGCGCGATTGTAAACGAAAAAAAAACTCAAACAAACACACACAAAAACCAAGTTAAGCTATTGCATTTTTGGTAAGAATTTAGTTTATTGTACCTACGCATAAGAAATACTTACTTAAAGCAAGAGTAATTAAATAAATGTAGTTCAGTAAATGCGTTATCGTTTTTATTTGTGGAGAACAAGTGGAGTCGACGTTGGAAACAAACTATCCAGACAGTCGATTGGCCAATCCATTGGCAGAGCTCCTCTAATCATGGAAAGACATGCCACGCCCAGATCGGCATTTTCATTGTTGGCACAGGCAATACATAATTCTTTCCGAGGGGAACTACTTTCCAAGAATCGTAAGGATCCAGCCTGTCGATCGCTCCCGGTCGATCGGCCTCTAAGTAGTCGAGATATAGAGCAACGAAAAATGCAAAAATAATCAGCCTCCAAATGACAAAATCGAAGAAATTCTAGACCGAGGTACCAGGCGAACAGAAATCAGCAGAAGGCAACTTCGATTTTTTTTTCAACACCCAGAAGTATGCTATGATTTAAAACTTAAGTTGTAACTAAAAGAAGGCAACATAATTTTTTGCAGTCGCTAAAGTAGCTTTCTGCTGATTCCTGTTCGCCTGGTATCATCAGATCTGAACATCTCGAAATCTCGGTTTTGAGCGCCAACAAATTGAAGGTGTGGTTGTTGTACAGCAATTGACAACAATAACAAGTAACAATAACAATAACAAATAACAACTTTGAGCCAGTGTCTATATTTTATTTGTCCGAACCCTTCTTACTATTTATAAGCTATATCCTAGATAATATATATTTGCTATATTTGCTGAAAGAACGACCTATTTTTATTTGTGGAGAAAAATATGACGATCGACTTATGAATGGTGATAAAATCCTACGTCAGAGTATACGAATCTGCCAATCTTTCTGATTCTATGGTATACCTCACTCTCAATTATGGTCTATTATAAAATGGGCATATTCACAATGAGTTGGATATTTTGATTTGGTAGTTTGGCCCTCTGTGACAAGACAAAAGATATCCCAGAAAAAAGCCCAGGCTGATAACGAAATTGTCGTGTTTGTATAGCTCCAGCGAAGCAACAAAAAAGGGAATAACAGCTAGAAACAGATGTATCATGTTCAGCGATAATATCGTTATCTCTACTATATAGACAAGGCTCTATATAGACCTCCATTTAGTGGTAGTTATGTGGAGGTGGACTTATTGATATCAGCGGCTGCGGTTCAGGTGTACGCATTGATACTCGTATCTTTCCAACATACACATATATACATAATATATAACTCCATATAGTTGGGTACTATACCTACTTATTCATGGGAATTGTATATAGAAAGTCTTCGTAATGACTTCCTGTCGGGTCATTGATTGCTGGCCATTCTGATGAAGAGGAGATTCCCCGTTGTGTTTAATCATATAAATACTGGGAGTGGCCTCCGATCAACTTGCACTATATCTTATCTCCAGGTGTTGGCTGCCGGGTTGGGTTGACACAAGGTGTTAATTTTCAGTAAAAGTCACCAGCCGCTACCTTCGGCGATCTCTCACTCTCATAAGCGCCCTCTATCTCTCCCTCCAGTTGATTCGTTCAACTGTCATTAGGCTATGCGTCACCGGCCGTGACGTCCGCCAGGGTCTCCATACATGTACTACAGAGAACCAGAACTAAAATCGGCTATTCTATGCCGAGGCGGTGGCAGTCGCGCGCCCACAGTCAAAGTCAGCGGTTCAGCTATCAAATTGTGCGACGAGGTGCCCAAACATACCTACTATATACATACGAAACCCGTCCAATTTATATATGTATATATAACTGCTAATATTAAATTAAAGACAATTGTGAGTAGAGGTCGGACAATGTGGAATTTTTACAAAGCCAGTCGCAAGCTGTATGCTAGACCAACCTATACGTATCAAGGTTTTGTGCGAACAATCTCTAACCAGACTGCAGATCCGTACTGATAAGCGATATCTTGACTTATCGCTGGAAAACTGTCTGATTGTGCCGGTGCACCCACGATGCATGTAAACTAAACCAAATTTATGGACATAACTAATCGGGGGTTACGGAACTACACCGAGTGTCACTTAATCGCTGTTTAAGTACAAGCGACTAATCTAATCGAACCCAATCACGAATTACTGGCGGTAGCCATATGGCTGATATTATCTAATCAACCAGAAGAGACACCGCTTACCAGACAACCACTTGGCGAAAATGGGGCCAAAATGGGGGACAAGCTGACTAATAAGACCTCGACAATATTTCAATAAATCAAACTCATTGCCTTTGCATTGAACAGGTAGGTGGTGATAAGGAGCGCGTTGCCATGTCCGACCCGAATTCCATACGCAGCCTGAGCCCAGAGCTGGCCAGCAAAGCCCAGAAGGAGCTGGGAGAGGTGCCCGATCGGATCGAAGAGGATATTGAAGCTCTGCGCACTTGGATCTCAAAGCAGCCACATCTGACGGCACGCCAGGATGCCCAGTTCCTGGTCGCCTTCCTGCGCGGCTGTAAGTACAGCCTGGAGAAGACCAAGCTCAAGCTGGACAACTTCTATGCCATGCGGGGCGCCGTTCCTGAGCTGTACAAGAATCGCTTTGTGGGAGAGAAGCAGCTGGGAATACTCGAAACAGGGTGAGCTCGATTCGATCACATTTCACACCAGAATATTCTCAATATCATTTACTATATTTTAGCTGCCTTCTCCGCTTGCCCCAGCCCCTGCAACCGGATGGGCCCAGGATTCACATCTCCCGCTACGGCCTATACGACTCCAAGAAGTACTCCATCGCGGAGGTTGTCCAGGTCAGCACAATGATGGGCGAGATTCAGATACGGGAGGATGACAACGCCATGATTTCCGGCTTCGTTGAGATCATCGACATGAAGGGCGTTGGGGCAGGTCATATATTCCAGTTCGATGCGGTGCTGGTCAAGAAGCTGGCCGTTCTCGGTGACAAGGCACTGCCCTACAGGCCAAAGGGTTTCCACTTTGTCAATGCCCCAGCCAGTGCCGAGACAATGATGTCCATTGCAAAGAGTCTGATGAGTGAGAAGATCCGAAAGCGAGTGAGTTATAGCCTACCCTCCTTGAACTAAACATAGCTAAATCCAATCCTTCGATTCTGATCCTAGTTTCACATACACTCCAAGCTGGAGAGCCTCTACAAATATGTGCCCAAGGAATGCCTGCCCGCCGAATACGGTGGCAGCAATGGAACCATACAAGATGTGGTCACTACATGGAGGGAAAAACTCTTGTCCTACCAGAAGTTCTTCGAGGAGGAGGTGTCGTACGGTACAAATGAGAAGCTGCGGCGAGGTGAGGCCGTCAACGCCGAATCTCTCTTCGGCATTGAGGGCTCTTTTAGAAAACTCGACATCGACTAGCCTAAGCATTTAGTAAATAGTTATTTAATAATGAATTCTAATCAATACAAAACAAAGGAAACACACTCCAAAAAGGCACTCTTACAACATTAAAACAAATGCAATTGTAGCTGGTACGATTCCTAAACTGTTACACCTTGGCACTGACTGCCTGCTTGCTCTTCTGGTACACAAAGCTGTGGGCCTCATCGAAGTACGGGTTGGCAGATTCGCGGACACGTTCCAGCCACTTGGCTATCTTGGGAAATTTTTTCTCGCTTACATTGTACTGACAGAGCTCTGCAAATAAAATGTATCAGCTGATTGCACTCTTTGATCTAATTCGGTTCGACTTACTTATTTGATTTATTTCGGAAGCACCGAAAATATCGGCCACAGTCAGCTGATCTCCAATTAGAAAGTCCTTCTCCAGCCAGAGGCGCTCCAAGAGTCCCAAATTGGCCTCCACATCCTTAATCATCTTTTGAATCTGCTCGGCCTTAGGCATTGGAGCAATGCCATTTACGGGAAATAGCCAGGCACTCCGAAAGAAAAGTCCGCATGTCAGTCGAATGCTCAAATGCTGCCACTCCAAAAACTCATCGACACGCGCACGTCCCTCCAAAGTCTTGGGATAGAGCTGCTCGCTGAATTGACCTTTGTCTGAAAGATAGCTGCAAGACGGCAATATGTTCGTTATTGAAAGTTGCTTTAGCCAGCTAACATGTGTTGCAGGTATAGAGACAGAGACGTACCGAACAATGGCCACACTTTCAGCCAACTGAAAATTGCCATCCACTATAGCTGGAACCTTCTGAAAACGATTGATCTTCTTGTACTCGTCCGTCAATTGCTCGCCTGCAAGAAAGGGGTCAACAAATTTATTCAATCAGCCGGCTAGTTCGCTTGGTTCGTCTGTTTGTTCTCACGTTTTCGAAGGGCCACGGGGCATTCATCGAATGGGGTCTTGCCCAACTTCATTCCAATCCATAGCGCACGGGATGGTTGCGACAAGAAATCATAATAATATTTAATTGCCTTGGACATTTGAATGCTATGCTGAATTTTTTAAGTGACGAAAGGCACGGGCAAATTATTTTGGGAACTGAATCCAGCTGACAGAAAAAGCTCAGGTCAGTACAAAGTTCACAACAGGCGCTATACAACACTAGACATACATATGTTATATTTGAAAAAGAATCCAACGAACTTTTTTAATATATAAATATACATAAAATATGCACACATTGGGTGTACGTTTGTAAAAAATATTCAAAATCTCACAGCTTGGCAGAAGCCGCCTGTTTGGACTTTTTGTACACAAATGTAAGTGCTTCGTCGTGGTAAGGATTGGCTGCCACGCGGACACGTTCCAGCCACTTGGCTACTTTGGGAAATTGTTTCCCATTCACAGTGTATTGGCAAAGCTCTGAAAGTTATGCGTATGCGTGTTCAATTTAATGTACAAAAAACCCATTTTGACTTACTAATTTGATTGATTTCGGTGGCACCAAAAAGGTCGGCCACTGTCAAATGATCGCCAATCAGATAGTCTTTCTCCAGCCAGACAACCTCCAAGAGGCCCAAGTTAGTTTCCACGTCTTTTATGAGCTGTTGAATCTGCTCGGGTTTTGGCATTGGGGCAAGCCCGTTTATGGGGAAAAGCCAAGCTTCGCGAAAGAAAACTGAGCAGGCCACGCGAATGTTCAAGTGCTGCCACTCCAGATACTCATCAACGCGGGCACGTTCCTCCACAGACCTGGGATATAGCTGTTCGCTGAATTGACCTTTGTCTGAAAGATATCTGTAAGGCGCCGGTAAAGTGCATTCCTGGTTAAATATTATTAAAGTTTACCGCACAATTGCCACAGTTTCGGCCAAATGAAAGTTTCCGTCCACTATGGCGGGAACCTTCTGAAAACGATTTATCTTCTTGTATTCATCCGTCAACTGCTCGACTGCAAGAAAAGGGTTAAAGAAGTTCATAAACAAACAGCCTTAAGAATATTGTCGTTTACTCACATTTACGCAGGGCAATGGGGCAATCTTCGAAAGGGGTCTGGCCCCACTTGAGTGCAATCCACAGGGCACGGGAGGGTGGTGACAGGAAATCGTAATATAACTGGATTGGCTTCGGCATATTGAAATATTGACCGATTTCCTATTTCCTATGCGCGCAACAAGTGGCTGAGACTCCCAGCTGATAAAATGTTGAAAAAGCTCCAGTCCGAAGTTCAATCAAATGTCGCTTTACAACACTCCTTGCAGCATATACAGTTGTCCCGCTTTAGTAGATTAAGCGCCAAATATTTGAATATTTAATGTTTTAACATTTTGTATCTCTGCAAACAAGTTAATTACCAAAAAAAAATCAAAAAAGGGTCTGCTCAAGTAATACACCCCTTTTGGTGTGACTTTGCACTTGTTTGACATTTAAACAAATTCTTTTTAATTTATTAACGCACTCAACAGGGGACACTACAATACGCTGTCATTTATAAACTGTATGTTTGTATTTCGACTTTATATTATAGGTATGTACATATGCAAGTATGCATACGATATAATATAGGTGTACATGTACATGTGTAAACTAGTATCAAAAATTAGTAGAAACGACACTTAACTAACGCAAAAATTATCGAAAAAATATATGTATGTATGTATGTTCGCATGAATGTATGTATGCATGTATGTATGCGTATGCATTTAAAATAAAAGCCAACAAGAACTTAGCACTTAAGTAGAAGACGTGGAAACGTTCATCATCGTGAGGTGAGCGAAATGCGTTATGGGGGCGGATAAATTGTCGCGGCAAAGCCGAGTACGGGCCGCCATAGCCGCCTGGATGTTAGAATGTATGTGTAAGTAAGTAAGTATGGGTGTGCGTTGATAAGGACAACAATAAATTATAATCGACATTCATGTGAGGTTTTTTTTACCATTTGATGGCGTTTCATATTCTTCTTTTTGTTTTGTGGGGTTCGCTTTTAGTGTGGACTTGTTTATAATATTGTTGGATTTGCCTCTAGGTTCCATGCTGCTGCTCGATTAGGTTTTTCTTTTATAAAATATCAGGTTCTGCCATGACCAAGGATCGCTATAGAGCTGTGGTATTTTTACATTTGTGTGTACATATCCGCATGTATGTTTGTATGCATTTTTGTATGTGTATATATAGAGGGGGGGTGTAAATAGTAGTATGTGCATTTGAATATACAACTTGCTGCCACACGACATTTATGGGCCGCCAGCACGCCAGCACGCCTCAATCGAAGTTCAGCTTGCGAAAGGAGGCCTCGTGGGCGGCGCCAGCCCCCAACGGCGGAGGGGCCCTTTCCTGCTCCTTCTCGCTGGCCTCACGCAGCTTCTCATCCACGCCGTAGCGTTCCTCTTCCTTGAAGTACGTGGCAAAGCCGGTCAGCTGGGTCTCATAGCGCGTCATTGCATCGCCCAGAGTTCCATTATCCCCACCCAACTCCGCGGGCAGGTACTCCTTGCCGATGACGCGCTGCAGCGACTCGAGATTGGAGTGGATGTGCAGCTGCAATCGAAAGGGCGAGAGAAGCAGACGAAAATAACATACACAATCGCACATCTGGCCGTAAGGATGGACTCACCAGCTCTTTCTGCTTCATTGCATTGCGCACCAGACCGAGCACAAACTGCGTCTCGCGGGACGCGTTCACGATGTGGGTGGCAACTAAATTCGTGGGTATGCCGTGCTCGAGGAAGGCGTTCATGCGCCGGAACATGCCTGGGTCGAACTGGAGGAGCAACGAGTAGGGGATCTTGGTGAAATCAATTATCTCCACCACACCGGCAATGTTCCAGTTGTCGTCCGTGTTGATCTCGATTTCGGCGCGGAAGGCATGGAAGCGGAAAATGTCGCTCACACTGTGCTTCGAGGGCTCTATGTGGCCCATGCGTGTGTAGTGGATGCGGGGGCCGCCGGGTCCGATCGGATTGGGCAACGTGGCGAAAATGCTGCAACAGAAATAATTACAATTACAATTAACGAACAATTAATGAACGGTATACATTTTCGGGGATTCAGATTCCCCCACTTACCCAGAGCGAGCCATCTCCAGTAGCTTATCGTCCACCAGGCGACTCTTGAAGAGCTCGCGCTCTTTGGACTTGTATGTGTAATAGAACAACACGCGCTTCTTGGCTTCATCCACGTTCCAGTGGCAGTGGCGCAGGAAGGCCACCAGAAACTGATCGTCGGTGCGCGCCTGCAGGTAGTTAAGTTCAGTGATCCAGGCACGCAGCGCCTCGATGCACTCCGCCCTGGTCGTCTCGTCCTCCTTGAGCTTTATGCGAGCCTGCTCCGCCAGCTCCGGCACCAGCGTTCGGATATTGGTCATTGTCTTCGGGGTGCTGTAATATTTGCATATGCCGAAACTATTGTAAAAAATTTGGAAATATGCTGCCAAAGGGGTTGTGTGTGTGTGTGTGTGTGCGAGTCTTGGTGTGTGTGTGTGTGTGCTCTGTCCAGGTGTATGCACGACTAATTGGACTGTCGATGCCTGCTTCGATTGAGCACCCAAAACGAACTGAAAGCGACTCGCGGCTCCCCCAGCTAACGCGGGCGGGCACCTCACAGTGGTGTGAAAGTGCTGGAAAAACAAGCAAAACCATCTGCCAGTGTTAGTTCGGACCTTGAGCCACCCACTGCCGCAGATAGCAATGACCGATAGTTGCCAGTTTTCTGTAAAACTAGTCAGAGAGTTCATTCATTGGAGCATGCACTTTACAACAGCCAAACTCTGGCTGGGGTTAATCTCTTTTAGGGCTGCACTCGAGAAGAAAAAGCGATTAAAAACGAATTCCCATAAATTGGCATTTCCAGCCAACTGTGCCGCACCGATACGGCGATAAGATATGGCCAGCAAACATTGAACTGTGTGGCGGACAGAGACACTATCTAAATGTGGGTATATTGCTCCCCATTTACAGCTGCATAGAGTCCGATCCGATGCAGGAAATTCCCCCCGTTTTATCTGCCAAAAAGAGAGCCGCCTTCGCCCGCCCTCATCTGCCCACGAGAGAGCGAGTCCGGCCAAGAGAAAGAGCTGGCCAAAAGCACGTCTCACTATCAGTAGTTCACCGATTGGCCATAAAGGCAGTAGATGTAGATTAGCATTTGCTGGATTCGGCTACGGTTTGGGGTCCAGATTCGGTTTCGGTTTCGGTTTTGGCTTTGGCTTTTCACTTGACTGGAGACTCGTTTCAGTAGCCGCACAGCTGCCAGGGAGCACAGCACCGACTCCTCCCCATCCATCATGGCCGAGCTACGTCCATTGACCGCCGAGCTGCGCCACATTGCCGAGACGGAGCTGAACGAAGTGAGGGAGCGGTTGCCAGCCGACTTGGATGCCCTGCGCGAATGGCTCGCCAAGCAGCCGCATCTGCGGGCTCGCCAGGACGACCAGTTCCTGGTGGGATTCCTGCGGGGCTGCAAGTTCAGCCTGGAGAAGACCAAGTCCAAGCTAGAGCACTTCTACACGATTAAGACCTTGATGCCGGAGCTCTTTGGAAATCGCGTGGTGGACGCCAACACGCTGGCACTGTGTCGAACGGGGTGAGTAGCGGTTGGATCAATCAATCAGTCAATCAATGTGCAGGTGGAGAATGATGGGCATCCTCTTTTCAGTACCTATGTGCGGCTACCCAACGCCTGGGGAGCCGCGGGACCACGCATCCAGATCACCAACTATGAGAATTTCGATCCCAAGGTCTTTAAGCTGGTGGATCTGTTTCGCTACCAGACGATGCTGTCGGAGATGTCCATATGGGAGGACGACCACGCCAATGTCAGCGGATACATTGAGATTATCGACATGGCCAAGCTGAGTCTGAGTTTCGTGGCCCAACTGGACTTTAACCTCATCAAGCGAATGGGCGTGTTCGCCGAGAAGGCACAGCCGACCCGCATCAAGGGCATTCACTTCATCAACTGCCCCAAGGAGGCGGTGGCGCTTCTCAATCTGGCCAAGGGCCTCATGCCCAGCAAGCTGCAGCAACGAGTGAGTGTATTCGGTCGAAACAGTGGCAAATGCGAATTCGAATGAATAGCTCAAGTTCTGAGTAATTTCCCCCTCCCAGCCCCAAACTACTAATTTATTTTCGTCGCTTATCGGACCCTTATCACGGATTATCAGCCAAGTGGCTGCCAGGCACTTGATAAACGTTGAAGCGCCCACCCTGGTGATATTTACATATACATATATTTTATTACAGTCTGCAGATTTGAGCTATTCAGAACCATTCAGAATGATTCAGGCAGGGTTCAGAGTCAAAGCTTGGCTAGGTCAGTGGCCAACCTCTGCAGCTGGGCACTCGTACAGAGCTCTCGTAGGGACTATAATCTGATGGGATTTATCTCTGACTAACTTGTATCTTTTCTCTTCTCTTCTCTTCCCTTTCCCCAGTTTTATGTGTATAAGAATCTAGAGCAATTAAACAAAGTCATACCACGCGAATACCTGCCCGATGAGTATGGTGGCAGCAATGGACGCGTAGCCGACATTCAGGCACAGGCAGAGCGGCAGCTGCTGGGCTACAGCGACTATTTCAAAGAGGATTCTCAGTATGGGGTGAATGAGCAGCTGAGAAACGAGGGGAAACGAGTGAATGCCGATTCTATCTTCGGCACGGAGGGCTCTTTCCGCAAGCTGGACATCGACTAGAGATTATTTTATTATTTATCAGGCGTACTAGTGAAAATGTTTTCAATTAAAAGTGTTCAATGGAAACGTTGAAACGTTCAATGCGCAGATTCAGCAGATTCAACAGATGGCCACCCACTCGGGGTGTGTGCGTTTGATTCATTGGCTTTTAGTGGGGCACTATCAGTGACAACTGTTAATGGCTTTGTCAATCAGTCAACTGAATTATGTCGGCTCAAAGGTGGCTCATGTTAATTTGGCTGTAAGCAGCAGCAGCAGAAGCAGTCGGCCCCCGGACGCCTGCAATGAAGGAGGCGACACCAGCGAAATGACTGCCACAAACGCAACCAGTTCTGAAGTAAGTGCAGTGCCCGAGAGTAACCCACCTTTAATGCATCTTCAACTGTAGTTCGACTTCAGCAAGTGGGATTTTCCCGCTGAGCGAATTTGGCTGCACAAGTCGAACGAGGAAATCGCCTGGAAGATCTGCACCTTTGTTCCGCTGATTGGCTTTGGGCTGTATGGGAACTGCATCATGATCTACCTGATAGCCGTGAACAAGTCGTTGCGATCGCCCACCAACCTAATCATAGCCAACATGGCCGTGGCCGATCTCCTGACTCTCTCCATCTGCCCGGCCATGTTCATGGTGAACGATTTCTACCAGAACTATCAGCTGGGATGCGTGGGCTGCAGGATGGAGGGCTTCCTGGTGGTGGTGTTCCTGATCACAGCCGTGCTCAACCTTTCGGTGGTGAGCTATGATCGCCTCACGGCCATTGTCCTGCCCAGGGAGACGCGACTGACCGTGCGCGGTGCCCAAATTGTGATTGTCTGCACCTGGATTGGGGGTGTCCTCTTGGCCTCGCCCTTGGCTCTCTATCGGGCGTACCGCGTCCGCGTCTGGAAGAACTTCACCGAGCGCTATTGCAAGGAGAACACTGACGTTCTGCCCAAGTATTGGTACGTGCTCATAACCATACTGGTCTGGCTGCCATTGGGCATCATGCTGATCTGCTACATTGCCATTTTCTACAAGGTAAGCGAACACCCGCCACTCGAGATCTCCTCTCCTCTCCCGCCCTGAACTGACCGACCGCTTCACAGCTCGATCGGTATGAGAAGCGGGTGCAGAACCGTGAGAATCCCCTCACCGTTAGCTACAAACGCAGCGTGGCCAAGACCCTCTTCATCGTGGTGGTGGTCTTTGCCGTGCTCCGGCTGCCCTTCACCATTCTGGTGGTGCTGCGCGAGAAGTACTACTCCGCCGACACCACAGTCAACAGCGGAATGCAGCTCTTCTGGTACCTGTCGCAGTACCTAATGTTCCTCAATGCCGCCGTCAATCCGCTCATCTACGGCTTCAACAATGAGAACTTCAGGCGCGCCTATTACCATATCTCGTGCGTTCGACGACGGAGAGAGGCAGCCAAGCTCAAGGAAAGTTCGAGGCGTCAGCATCACTGCTGCTATTGTGCCTTTATGAAGAAGAAGAGACAACAGCAGCAGCAGCAGGAGGAGGAGGTACAACAACAGCCGAAAAACGTGGAGGTGGACTTGAGCAAGGAGATAACCACATCGGAGCCGCTGGCCAGAATAGGCGAAAGTTCCGAGGACGTGGCTGTGGCCGAAATCGAAGCAGAGGGATTTATATAGAAAGACAATAGCCTAAAGGGGAACACACTAAACAACAACACAATAAATATTAAATGAATATATAATAAATAAACCAATGACACCCCTCAGTGCTGATATTCCCTTCGACTTGCAGGGTAACTATTAATCTGACAGTGCAAATGCATCCCTGTCTCCCACGCAACACGCGAAAGGAAGCTTTCGAAACAGTTAGGAAAGCTCAGCTCGGATCACAGTCAAAAGCTGCGGCTGTAGATTGCACGTGCACGTGCTGAATTTTGTGTGTGTGTTTCGTTTGTGCATTATATTTAAGAACTCAAGAATATATGCCTCAAATGTGTCGTCGTGTGATATTTCTACTGATTTTCGTGAGTGCCTGGCCCTGGCCCCCCGGCAATGCCTTCGAGGTGCACTTCCAGGAGAGCTATCCCAGCGAACGTCTGGCCACAGACCAGGAATCGGATCTGCACAAGCGATCGAGCGATGTGCCACAGTTCTTCGACAAAGGTTTTATCAAAAATCAAATAACAACTTTTATTAGAATTTTGTGAGCCCTCCACACTCAGGCTAAGCCAAACAATTCAGACTTCATGTAGCCAAAGCCGTGGGCCTCCAGGAACTTGATGAACTGTCCCATGTTCATGATTCCCTCCTCCTCGTTGAACAGCTGCTCGCTGAAGGTATCGAAGCCCCGCCTGCGCTGCCCCGGCTCTGTCCGCACTACGCTGATCTTCTGCCAGCGCAGGGCCTTGATGGCGCGCCAGAATTGCTGTACCTGTTCCGCCTGTCCCTCCACGCAGATAATGCCAGGCTTGCCGGGCCTGCTGAAGCCGGTCAGTTCCAGATGGCGGGCCTGGCGTACCAGCTCCTGTCGCTTGGCACTCGACTTGATGTGGTGCGAGTAGATCCACAGCCGCTCCAGATGGGCTGCTGTCTGTGGCGGCTCCAGCGGCTCCGGCGGTTCTGGTTCCGGTTGCGGTTGTTCGAACTCGCTGACCGGACGTTGGATCAGTGCCTCAATCTGCTCCTGCAGCCAACTGAGAAGTTGAAAGATGTACGGCTCTGGGTCCTCCTCCCGCCTCTCGCACAGATATCGATCTATCTCGACCTTCAGATGCTGCTCCCTGGCCTTGCCCAGCAAGGGGCTGTGCACACTGACGCGGGCCTGCTCCAGCAGTGGGTACAAGTGGGGCAGTTCTATGCGCACCTCCAGACTCTGATTGGCGGGAATGCTCAGCTTAACCATGTACTCCAGGTGCGAGCGAAGGCTGCTTGGCGGTGTGTCTGCCCCGAGGAACTCGTTGAAATCGGCCACGACGCCCGCATCGAGCATCTGCAGCTCCCCGGGTGCGCAATATATGGAGCTGAGCATCTCCAGCTCCTCCAGCTGCTGGCCAATGCAGCGGAGATAGGCTTGCAGCTCCTCATCGGCCATGGCTGACGAAGAATTAGAGGAAATCGTTTGGTTTAGTCGTCGCAGCCTATCGAGGGAAGCTCTTAAGAAGTACGAGTAGAGTGGTATTGTATCCCTATTGTTTGGTATTCCTATTTCCAGCCAGCTTCAGCTTCGATGGCCTGACCCGTGTGGCATCCGTGCCAGTTCTTTTTCCCCTCGACATTTGCATTCTACAGCTGCCTGCGGTCAAATACGCGACGGCGCTGCACAAGGATGTGGCTGGACAGCGACACTTTGCCGTTTACGCCTGGCGCCCGGCGGAGCAGAGCTACGAACTGCTGCTGGAGGTGCCAACGCCCAAGGCTGTGGCTATGGATTGCCTGGCCTATGCTGGACGTGGCTATGTGGCACTCAGCTATAATCTCACGCAGCCAGTGCACTTGGCTCGCGAGGGTTCTCCCATCTATGAGCTGTCCCCCGAGACGGGTATACGGACCGTTCAGTACTTCGGCGGACTGCGGCTGCGGGGAATGTACTTGAGGATCAGCAGCCAAGAGCTGACGCTTCTGCAGGCCTTCGACTCGGCGCAGGGCCAAGCGGCAGTGCAGCAGGACTGTCCCTACTTCAAGTGGACGGGCGGAACGTTTCAGCGCCTGGGAGCGATCCCCTGCAGCAATGCCCGCCGCATGGAGGCTTTCGGCATAGACTATGCCGACTATGTGGCCGTGGCCAACTACGCGAATGCCCAGGGACGAACTGCCACCCGCTCGGACATCTACAAGTACAATCCAAAGAGTCGCCGGTTCCAACTCTTTCAGCGGCTGCGCAGCAACGGAGCCGTGGACGTCAAGTACTTTAGTCTCCCGGTGAACGAAGTGAGTCGCAGGCACTTCCTCATTCTGGGGAACAGCATCGGAGGTTCTGGCGCCGCAGCGGGCGAGGCCGATACCGTCATCTATGTCTACGAGAAGGGTCAGTTTGTGCCCTATCAGCGGTTGAGTTTCTATGCCCTGGAGCGCTTCCTTCCCGTCCAGGTAGCAGAATGTCTTTTAGGTCGGTTTCACCGCAGATTCACATAGGGAATTATTCTCCACAGCACTCCATATCGGAGAAGTTTCTGCTTCTGGTGGCGTGCAACAAGCAGGATGTGAAAATCTACAACCTGAACGACTGGAAATTCGAAGAGTCCAAGGTGCAGTTCACCGAAGGTGCCCTGAGTCGGGGCGTGGCCCGCATGCGCAGCTACGAGGAGCAGCAACAGAGCTACCTAGGCAAGCCATCATCGACACGTGAATCACAAATGATTCCCCCCCGACTGACAGTGATTTGTGTTCTTTCAGTGATTGCCAACGAGAACATGGCCGCCAATGAGACTAACATTTTCCAACCGCTCTACAAGCAGGACGAGCATGCCAACATACTCCGCCAGCAGATAATCGACTGGGCCCGGGAGCAGCAAAAGCGGCTGGAGCAGATCAATGTGGAGCAGCTGTTGCACGGCTTGCAGCAAAGAGCGAAGCAGCGGGAGGAGATGCTGCTGCGATCCCTCATCAAGCGGGTCAAAGCGAAATCGGTGAGTGAGCGACGAGGGACGTACCCAAAGCATCTCTCTAATGCATGCACCACTAATCCAGCTTGTAGATGAGCAAATGAAGCTGAGCTCCAACTACTGGGATGCCTTGCAGTATGCCAAGCAGGCCTTGGATGTGATCGAGCAAGATGCCACAGCAGCCCGCACCCGACAACCCATGAAACGAGCTGCTGCCGAACAGCACGAATTCGAGGAGATTACTGTGGATACCCTGGTGGTCTATGACGGCATGCAGGCAAGCAGTATCAATGGGTTGGATGCCAAGGAGCCGGTGTACGAATCGGTGACTGCCAGCAAGGTGTACGTCAGCGAGGAATACAAAGAACCGGCCGGGGAGAAGCAGAGACCCTTCCTGCAGGAGCTCTCAGTGCAACAACTCCAGCTGGGAGGCACTCTCAACGGCCTCAACTGGACACAGCTTCTGGAGAAGACACTCAAACGGAACAGCGCAGACGTGCAGTTTATCAAGTCCGCCGCAGACATCACACATCTCGGTGCGGAGGCTGTGGTGGTAAACAGCAACGAGATCAACGACCGCTCCCTGGGCCACCTCATTCCGGTGGATGGCGGCGACTTTATTGTCCAGCAGGAGGTGCAGTTCTCCCAGCCCATACAAGTGAATCGTTTGCTCATCAATCAACGGCTCAATCACATCCACGTGGACCGCCAGCGCTTCGACCTGCTGCTCCGCGAAGCCAATCACACCCAGGTGATTGCGGGATCCAAGCGGCTGGAGAATCTTCGCGTCATGGAACCCATTACCATTGCGGTAAGTGCTCGTCCGCTAGCCTGATGTAAAATGAAATCATTTCGCGTGGGTTTCCTTTCAGGGCCAACTCCTGGGAGCAGAGCTACGAGCCATGTCGCCTGTAAAGATCACCCATCAATCGCTGGAACTCCAAGGGGACTTTGTAATTGATGGCGATGTGACGATTGGAAGGCTGCTGCAGGTGGGGGATTTGCTTGACGAACCAACAGGGAGGTCGGCTGCAGAGACATTGAGGCAGGGTCTGCGGCTGGATCAGACACTCCAGGATGTGAATGTGAAGTTTGAGCAACCGCTCGTGGCCAACAACACGGAACTGAGCTTCGTAAATGCCGAGGATCTGCAGAAACTGGTCAAGTTGAATGTGGAGGAAGTGCAGGTAGTGGAGGGCAGTAAGACATTGCCGCAGGGCCTGGAGATTAGGGAGGGCTTCGGTGAAGTCAAGTGGCTCAATGGCATTGATGTGCAGAAGCTGCCGGAAGTGCTGCTTACCAAAAGCGGCAACCAGAGCATCCCGATTGCGGTTCAGTTACAGGGATTGGAGTTGAGAGAAGTGAAGGCGCAGCCGCTGGTAATGAATGGCTTGGAATTGGACGACTATTTGCAGGTAAGCAAGGAGCAGCGCTCGAATAGCACGCTGTACGTGGACCAGCTGGATGGCGGGGAGGTGAACCTCGAAGAATTGCATATGAATGGCATGCTCTTTGGCCAGCCACTGGCCTCCATCTACTCACATGGCAGTCAATCTTTGGACGGCTGGAAACTGCCGGCCAATTTCAATGGCAGCATTCGCGCCCGAAATGTGTGGCTCAAGGGCAGCATTAACCAAGTCAATGTGGCCCAGTTGGAGCAGCAGCTACAGCAGCTGGCTGGCAACATCAAGTATGTGGGTGACTTCAGCTTCAAGCATGCGGTAAACATAAGCAGTCTCAGCTTTGGCCACTCCCTGAATGGCATCCAAGCCGCTCAGTTCGGTGGCAACTGGCTGGAGGCCAGCGGAGACCAGAATTTCACAGCTCCGCAGGTGCTGGCCGCGCTGGAGAGCACCGGGGGTGTGCTGCTCCAGGGAAAGCTGAACAATTACACCCTGGAAGATTTGGTGAGCCGCAGCTACAGGCTGAATGCATCGGAGCATCTGCAATCAGTGCGATTTGGTAAGAAAATTCAATGGCAAATCCAATTCTGTAACTGCAAATAACTGCATGACAAACATTACCTGACAGAGAATCCCATTGTACTGCAATCGGAGCTGATGGTTGGCCGCGTGAACGGCTTGCGTGTGCCCGAGGACATGCTGTACACAGATGCCGGAGGCTTCTTGTCGGCACCGGTTACCATCAATGGTAACCTGGAGGTGGCAGAGCTGTGCAACCTGACCAGACTGAATGGCTATCATCTGGCGGCGCTGGACAAGTACCTGAACGGGGAGCCATACGACACTTTCCATGCGGAGAGTGTGAAGTTTGAGCGGCCGCCCACTTACAATTATCTAAACGGTCACCAGCTGCAGCAGCTGTTGGATCAAGTCTGGCTGGACAGCGAGCGAATTGAGCTGGGTGGCACGGAGCAGAAGCTGGAGTTTGCCTCCACCGCTTTCGAGGGTCTTCTGGACTTCCGAGTGAGTGCCAGCAGACGATATGGGACGACTATCCCAGCCCTAACGAACTCCCAAGCAATCACACACTTTTATGACCATCTTGCAGGGCCCCATTAATGGCTTCCAGGTGGACCACATCAAGCGGAACTACTTCAGTCGGACGCGCAGCCAGCAAGTCAGCGCTCCGTTGGACTTCAGCCATGACGTCACTTTCGCACAGCCTCTGACAGCACGCGTGGTAACGCTACGTGGCAGCGTCAGCAATGGAAACGACGCACTTGTTGAGAGCATGGGGTACGTGTTACCATTTTGTTTAGATCGGTTTTGGGTTTTGGGTATTGGGTTTCACTTTGCAATTGTTTACGCGCTTTAAAACCCACAGTTTTACCAGGACTGGCCTGGTCGTCATCTACCCCCAGAAAAATCAGCTGTGTGCTGTGCATAGCAGCAGGCAGGTGAAATTTCTGTACACGTTTGCAAATGGCGCAGATGGGGTATAAAAAGTGGAGAGTGGAGTGCATTTAATTACCTCGTGTGTGGCTGATTTGGTTTGGTTTAAATGCACTTTTAATAGTCCGGTCAGACAGTTTTCAAGAATGGTTCATTAACTTCGCGACTAGCAAACAAATGGGCTGAAAGGCATTTTATTGCGAAGAAGACACTCGACAGCGGTTCTTAGCGATCGCTGGAACGTTATTTTAGTCAATTTATTATTATTATTTTTTTATTTAGAGTGAGTGTACGTCAGCGTGACCGCGGTTTGTTCAATAAAAATTTACCGCCTGACCCTCAGAAATATACCGCAATATACCTTGTCATTATCAAAACATACCGTAAAAATACTGACGGACACGACAAGATGCGGTAGTATTCCTCGATTTGGATATTCGGTCTAATATTACTAGCTAGTTAGTCCTCTCAGCCCTAAACAAATAATTGTATTCAATTCATCAATCAATTTTGTACAAGATTGGCTAGTTTTCAAAACTCTTTTGTATTGTATTCTTTACATAATAAGGTTCAAACAAAAACGGCCAAAGCATAAAACGAAAATATGTACCGGAATGTGACGGCATTTTGCTGGTCAATCAGGTTTCAGCTATGCGTATGTACATTTGTATACCCTATTTCCTTTAATTAATGTTAAATTTGTTGTTCCAAGCTGCTTTGAAACATTAACATTGAATTAATCTTATATTCATGCATATGTCTATACATTTAAAACAGAGATTGAGTAGTTTCAACATTAATTGGAGCCTGAGATTAAAAATATTACCTCAATTCTATATCCATTTTCCCAAGATCGTTTTAGAAAATAGAAAACCAGGTCTGTTTTTGAATTTATCGAAATAGGGACCTAATTAACAGGTCAAATTCAAATTAAAAAATAACGAAAATTATTCAAAATGAGCTGTTGTTTTTTATATACAAAAAATACAAATATAAAAAATATTTTAATTTATGACTGTCCGTCTGTCTGTCATTCATATATCTATCGTGTATGTTGAGCAGGACAGTCTGAAAGAATAGGATTAGCAATCTAGAATGTAGTATCTAAAATAGTTTATATTTAAATAATACATACCAGAACTTGATTTGAAAAAAAAATGAATTTTTGTGCAAAACTATTTCAAGCAGCTATCGATAGCTTGCTGGGAAAGTACTCGAGTACTCACGAGTACTACTTACTATCGGCGCGAATAGCTAATTTTCAAATAGTACTCAATCTTTCAGCAACTTCTCGCTGGATTTCGATGATTTTGTGGCAAACACATTAAAAACCGCCGGAGTGCATAAGATCACTGGCCATTGGACCCTACCGGACGCCTATGTGGAAGGCAATCTAAATAATGTGCTAATAAATCAGCTAAATTTAGTTGACGACGTCCTACGTATAAGCGAAAATAATGTCAGCTCCCAAACCACGATCATAAATGCCCTGAAAACGGTTGACAGGGCCACTATCAGTCGTCTGTATGCTAGTGCCACAAGCCTGGTGGCCAATGTTTCCATAGCGACGTGGATAAATGATGCTGTTTACATTTACGGGAACCACAGCATTGCGGGTACAACCCGCCTGCTGAATGTCAACTTATATAACGACCTTGCCGTTGAGGGACCTGTGAATGGCATCCATTGGCAGCCAGACAAATTGTTACTGCGGGACAGGGATCAGTACGTGCCGGGATCACTGCTGGTGGACAACAGTTTGCCCGAACAGCAGCAGATCCTCAGCAATAACATTGAAAGTCTCTGGGTAGAATATGTCAATGGTCTGTCCGTGAACGAGGTGCTGGAGAACAAAGCCCGCAATCGGCCCAATCTGCATGTGGAGAGCCAGTTGATCTTCGCTCAGCCGCTGACCGTGGACAAATACGAGCTGGTCACTGGCAATGGCAACTCGGAGCCTGCCTATAAATCTAAACGTGGCGTGGATATGAATGCGCTGGAGGATTGGCAGCAGCTGCAACAAAATGTAGCAGCAGTGCAGCATCGACTGGAGGGTGAGTGCAGAAAACTCTTGCAATAGGTGGATCTATAATTGGTTGCAATTACTTTTCAGAGCCTCCGAAGGTGTTGGAGAACTTTTTCGTGCTGCAGCAGCTGCCCCATAAAGGAGTTTCCCGCATGGAGACACTGACGACGGGAAATGACGATGTTCTGGCCATATGGCAGGGTCCGGAGAGGGTTGACTACTACTCGTTGGAACCAGAAGAGCACATCTTTAGGCACAGGCACAGGCTGAATACAAGTGAGTCTCATATGTATATTTATTGGAGTATAAACTTATTTGGAAATGAAGTGGAACATGGGGGTCATAAAATAGGACTGCAGTCAAAATTATAGTTAAAAATTTGTTTCAAAATATCCATTTGAAGCGACGTTGAAGGATGAACAAACTCAGTATCGCGAGAGCATCGCCTCAACGCGTGCGCCTAATAGAAATATAAATTATACGGGATTGGGGGATCCGTTCTACATAAATACCTTCTACTTCTTCTAATAAGTAAGTTGAGTTGAGTAATTAGACGTCACTTAAATAGGTAATATATATACTCGTATTGTCTGGATCTACTGGTCCAGCTCGTCACTTTGAACATCGAGAATGGTGCGCAAGATCCCCAACTCTAGTTTGGCGGCGGCACGTAATGAGATTCTGTTCATCACATTTGCAACGTATAGTCCAAGGGCTTCGTGGCGCGAAGAGTTGCACAAGTTCTTGAAAAATGTCGGCGGCAGCGACTGGTCAAAGTTGCCCAAGTTGATAATCTCTGGGGCGTTGGAGGAGTTTGTATCTTTGAGCTTGAGGAGCTTTGAATCAAAGATAATGTCGTTCTTGAAGTCTAGTTCCTCGATGTGTGGCGAGTAGCCGTTGGTGGAGGCCACTGAAGTGGAGGCAACGGTGGCAGCTGTCGAGGATGTTGGGCCACCGCCGTTGATCTGTTGTGCCGCCGGTACGGTGATGATGTTGATGCCGGGCGGTGGCGAGTGGCTGCCGTCTCGCTCCTTCTTTACCTGCATTAGCTGAGCCGTGGTTGTGTGGACGACGTTCGAAGTTACTGTGGGGTCTGGCACACTAGCAGCGGCCAAAGCAGCAGCAACTGTGTTCGCAGTCTGTTTGGGACTCTGTGTCTTCACCACCTTCTTCTGCGATGATGATCCCGAGTACTCCTCAGACAGCTTGCGCTTCAAAGAATCTGGCAACTGAATGGTGGTGCGCGACGAGGACGTTGCTCTATTGCTGTTGCTCTGTGACTGTGTCGGCGTCGATTTCTGTGCAGCTCCAGCCGAGCTGGGAGTCTTCTTCACGGTAATTCCCTTCTTCTGCAACACTGCGGCGGCCATGGACACTGGATTGTTTGTCGTGGCCCTAGGAGTATTGTTTGCCATTGTGTTAAGCAGCTTCTTCTCCTCGAACGCTGGACGCGGTGTGTCAATTATGGCCTTGGAGTACACCTTTTCCTCCTTTTCCGGCGAGCCGGTGCTGTGCGATTTGCTTGGGCTCTCCCCATCTGAAGAAGCAGAGCCAGTGGAGTTGGTGGGCTGGCCAAACTGATGAGCGTCGTCGTCCTCCTCTTGCTCCTGCACCTCCAGCATTTCATACTCCTCCACATCATCCATGGGCAATTGCTCGCTAAATGCAAAACGAAATATTACCTAACCCGCCATTTTTAGCATTTATTTCACTCACTCTTCTTTCTCGACCGCCTTGGTCTCCTGATGTATTTGGTGCATCACATTGAACAACTTCCACGTCGAATTGCCCTTGATCTTCTCCTGCTCGTACTTCTTCTGCAGCACAATGAAAATGGAGCGCGACTCGTGCACGGACAGTTTGTTGAGGCGCCCAATCCTGGCCCAAGCGTCCTCTTGCTCCTGTTTGGTCGCTCCGCCATTGTTTGGATGCAACGCTTTCTCCTTGGCAATGTCTGCCAGAATTTTATCAAGTTGTATAGCCATTTTAGTCAGCGACTTGCGGCCACCTGTTTGCACGTTTTTGTTAATTTTGAAGGCTTTTATTTATTTCGACTTTAGAAATAAATTGTATATGCTGCCGCCGCTGTTCCGCTTTTTTTTTGCAACTTTTTTTTTTCTTCTTCTGTATGCCGACGCCGATTTGGCGGAAAATGTGACCATTTCGCGTACGAATACCAAACAAAGCAAGAGTAACTTTAAAAAATACCAGATATAACTATTATAGGGGAAATAATTATGCATTTCTTTGAATAAACGTATTTTGTAGAATTGATGAAAGCATCAAACATTTGTTTTTCATCTCAGGCTCATCGTAGCAGATTGGATGGGAAAACAAAATTTGAAGATTAATTAAAGGACATAAAGTATATAAATACTATACTATACACCTAAAATTGTACATACATCTGTAGTTGACATGTAGTAAATGTGTAGTTACACTGCACAAAACTGGACATTTTTGTTAAATCCTTCCTTTTATACTTCGAATTTATTTATATATTTATTTGGTTCGTCTGCAGTGAATAGTGGTTTTGAACGACCCAAAACGTTAGTGAAGTTCGATTTACAATAAAACCATGTTTACAATCTCCTTGTCCGTTATGCACTTGACCGTCTCTTGGCGCGACGGGATATCCGTCTTGGATGGGTTGCTGACCACAAATGGAAACTCGGTCATGCCGTAGCAGGCTGCTCCATATTGGCCCAAGCGATCGACAGCAATGACGGCGCCCGAGAAGTCCTTGTAATGCTTAGCGATCCGTCGAATGCCAACCTCAGCTGCCTCCGTCGGCTTCTTGCCCGCCCGCATGGCTTCCACAGCCAACAGAGTGGGCAGGAAACGCATCATAACATCACCATCTCCGGTGGCCACGGCAGCGCCCACCTCATTGTCCGCATACGCGCCTGCACCGGGTATTGGTGAATCTCCGACTCGTCCAGGGATCTTATGGCTCGCTCCATTGCTTGAGGTCCCCGCATGGATGTTACTATCGACATCAATGGCTATCATGCCGATTGTGTCATGATTATGGTGCCCAATCGAGTACTCGGCGCGCGCACGATCTTCCTTCCAGCGCGTTAGGGGCGTCGCTTTGGGGTTGTAGGGACCACAGGAGATGGATGGATCTGGGTGAACATTTCTCCAGAAATTTGGCTGACAATTTCCCGCTGCCCAATCCTGCCACATACCCTTTGATTCGGCCGTAACCAGGGACTCGGAGCGAAATCCCATTGCCTGGGCAAACTGAGAGGCGGCATCGCCGACCAGCATGGTGTGCTTTGTGTGCTCCAGAACATGCCGAGCCACTCGAATGGCATCCTTGATAGATCTGAGGCCTGCTACAGCCCCCACATCCATGCTGCTGCCATCCATAATCATTGCGTCCAACGTTGTCTCGCCCAACTCATCGGGAGAACCGCCATAGCCAACAGTTCTATCGCACTGCTGCTGCTCGCACTTGGTGCAGCCCTCCACTACGGCATTACGCGTCTGCCGGAGACCACCCTGAGTCACATTCAGAATCCGCCAGGCCAGAAAATTGGCATCTGTAAAGTTCCAGGTATTGATAACCATGGGCAGTAAGACGCCACCGGAACTAGCCTTGTTCGTCGTAGTCAGGCGCATCGCAGGTGTGGTCGTTAGGCTGTGTAGGGATACTGAGATATTAGTAATTTATGGGCCATCGACCAGCGCCTCTGCTCACCCAACCATCGTTGTGAAGCTTATCTTGGGCGTGGTATACTCGGTGGCCGATCCTGATGTTAGGACCAAGCCAACTAGCCAAACGAATTGCGCCTTGTACATTTTCGCCAAGCGATTTGGCTATTTTTTCTAACGAGGTGCGTCCTTCAGAGCGTCTTTCTTTGTCTATCAGCTGTCGACGTGCAACTGAAGTTGCCGTCTTTCTGCTTCTATTTAAGTGGTCGTCGGTCCAAACCTCACTCTACCCGCAGCGGCGTTATCAATTTTGTTTTGAAATACCCTGTGTTTGGAAAAGTTCTATGACTTTCTTCCTCCGATGGTCGCAAAATGTTTTGATCATATTCAGCAACAATATCTATCAAGCATTCCTCCTAATACGGTTAGAGAAAGAATTTACAAACAAATGGGAGTTAAACAAAGTCGCAATCTAAAATAATTTCTCCATACCAACATTAAGCGCTACCATGGAAAGTGTGTGCAGCAGTCGACACAACTAAAAACACAATTTTTTCTTGCAGGCTTATCAACACTGTTACAGCCCAACAACAATACGCATTCGGACGTATTTAGCGGGGATTCATGGATGACCAACAAAAAACTGGAGTTTGGCCTAGGAACGATTCAGTGCCAGGCAGTGCAAGGAATCAACGAACTAATCGTCAAATGCCTCGATATTAGTGGCACCAGCAGGCAAGCCGTTGTGGACAGGTGGGATGCGAAACAGCTGCTGGCCGTGGCAGCCACCAATGAATCGCCGGTTTTGCTGCTAACTTCAAAAGCCGTGGAGCTTTGGAAAATTAGTGAGAGACAAAATTACACTTTAGTTCGTCGGCTGCTGGATGTAAAGGCAGAGCAAATGGCGCTGATCCGGCGTGGCTTGGGCATGCAAAGCAGCTATGTGGCTTTTCTCACGTCGTCGCCGGCAGCAGACATTAGGATTTACAGGCATGTCTTCTAGGTCCATTGTGCATACAAAACTTGACTAAAATATTTGAAAACTATTTCACAGCTTTAGCAGCGAAGATATGAGCGACTTTCAACTGGACCAAGTTCTGGAACTGCGAGATTCCCATCAGTCGCGTGAAATTCGCTTCATGCATCTGCCTGAATCGGACGACCTGCTGCTCTGCGTGTCCAATGCCTTGCCCGAGCAGCCGCTCACAATCTACCAGCATCAAGGCGCAGCGGGATTCCAGAAAATCCTTGGCGACAGCGCCTTGCCAGAAGTGCAGTTGTTGGAGGTGCTGCAGCTTCCCCACAAACAACGTCACTTAATAGCACTGGCCACTAGCAATGCCGTGTACTTGGTGCAGCCGCAGATTAATCCACTTTGAAATCACAGTTTAGTCACATTTTGTTAACACTTGTTTTTGTTTTTCTCTAAATAAAAATTTACTTTTTATTAACCGTATTTTGGGCTCTCAATTACTTTGCTTAGTCGTCGCTAGACTCGACATTCTCCGTTTGCAAATTCTTGAATGTGGACACCGGCACATAGGTCACGTAGGTGTACAATTTGTTGGGAGAATCCTCATCATCGTTGCGGCGACGCGCCAGACGCACACGCACGCGGAATGGGGTGGATCTGAAAGTGAACAGAACAGAGGCTTTAGAATGCGTTCTCCCATTGGAATTGAGGCACCACATACCTGATACCCTTGGACCAGATGTGCTTGTTGAGACGGGTGTCGATCCTGACGTCATTGGTGCCCATCTCCCGCTCGGCAAACTTGCGGATCTCCTTGATGGCGCGCGGGGCACGCTTCTTGAAGCCAATGTTGTGGACACGCTTCGCCAAGTGAATGGTGCACTCGCGGGTCACAACTTCGTTGATCGCCGATTTGTTGATTTTCTCGCCCTTGGTCTTAGTCATTGTTCCTGATTAGGCCGCAGCACTGCTATTCAATATCCTAAAATGGTAGAGAAGGCGGTTTAATATTATTGAAGAATCATTATTCATAAACAATCGAGACAAACAAGACCCATATTCAGACACCCAATTCACACACAAAACATCTTGCATTTGGGCAACATTTTAATATTCGCCGTTAGCATTTTATGTTCATAATTGAATATCAGTCATTTGGCGGCATTTGTTTTGCAGTATATTCGGATGTTTTTTGATTAAATTTATAGAAAATTGCCTAAAACCCACCTATCCGGAAATGAAAGCTGACGTAAAAGAATTGTCAAAATGCCAGGGAGCCGCAAATGTCAAAATCACATCCAGGGCTGCACAAATACGCAGAGTTGCTCAGACAAAGAAGCAACTGGCGCGCAACAGCTGATTGCGTGTAAGCAATACAAAAATGCTAGAAATTGCTGGTAAATTACTGAAATATTAAAATGTTTGAATAATAATCGTGATTTGTCGTGTTTAGTGCAATTGCTTGCAGTGGGACTGCTTTGGGGTGTGACCAACCCATTCATCCGCCTTGGCAGTCAGGGAATCGAGTCTGTCAAAGACACTGGCTCCAAGTGGAGAAATTTTGTCCTGGAAGTATGCACGATTGGCTCCCGTTGGCGGTACTGGATACCCTTTGGACTCAATCAGTGCGGTAGTGCTTTGTATGTGTGGACATTGCAAAGTGCCAGCATCACAGTGGCGGTTCCAGTCGCCAATTCGCTCAGTTTTGCCTTCACCGCGATAACTGGTTATGCACTGGGCGAAAAGTTGCCTGGGAAAAGTAAGTAAACAGAAGATTTGGGCCGTTTCAGTATATTAAAATATGTCTTTAATGTTGCAGAAGTTATCCTGGGAACGTTCCTAATCTGCTTCGGCAGCACGCTCATGATATACGACAAATTGGTACAGGAACAGAAACAAGAAAACCAAAATATACCATTCCAATGATTTAACCCTAACCCAAAGGCGAACTTGTCTTTATTACATTCGATAAAATAAGGCGTAATTGTTAACGAACAGTCGGCTACAATGCCTTGTGCACAGCCTCCACGAGTACATCCATGCTGGTGATGGGAGTTTGGGGCGTTATGCCATGGCCCAGATTGGCAATGTAACGCGATTTGCCAAACTTGTGAACCATTTCAGTGGTCAAGGTCCGCAGCTCATCGGCATTACGATACATGTCCTGTGGATCCAAATTTCCCATCAGCGTTATGTTCGGGCCCACCAGGGCACGTGCCTCAATGGGATCCACAGTCCAGTCGAGTGCAATTACATCGTAGCCCAGCTCGCTTTGCTCTTTCAGCGAGTGTCCAGCGCCCTTAGCGAACAGCGTCTGAGGACAAGAGGCTCAGATGAATCGAAATAGAAGTTGTGGTGATATCACTTACAATCGGAACCAATGGGAGAGCTTTTTTGGTCAGCCGGTCGACAAGCTCATCGCGTATCCTGCGCAAATAGGGCACAGCCCACAGCAAGAACTGCTCCTTGGTCAAATGCTCGGCGGATGACTCGAAGACCTGCAGCATTTGGGCTCCAGCCTTCACTTGCATCTCCAAGTAGTCCACGATTGCGTCCGTAAGCAGGTTGAGAAACAGTCTTGTGTCCTCCGGGTGATCCGTGAGCCAAGCCTTGGTCTTGGACATGGTCTTGCTGCCGCCACCTTCGATCATGTAGCCCATAAGGGTCCAGGGTGCACCAGTAAAGCCAATGAGGGGCACTCGGCCCTCCAACTTGTGTCGCATCATGGTGATGGCATCGCCCACGTAGGTCAGTCGGGACAATGCGCCATCTGGAGTCAACCGCTTTAGGTCCTCTGGTGTGTTTATTGGCTGGGGCAGCACTGGACCCACGCCGGCGTGCATTTCCACGGTCAAGCCAAGGGCTTGTGGAATAACCAATATGTCTGAGAATATAATCGAGGCATCCAGATCGAAGCGACGCAACGGCTGCATGGTCACCTCGCAGGCCAGCTCTGGGGTGCGGCAAACCGTGAAGAAGTCGTGTTGCTTGCGCAGCTCCTGGAACTCGGGAAGATAGCGACCTGCCTGGCGCATTACCCAGACGGGAACACGATCGACGACTTCACCGCGAGCGGCCCGCAGCAGGTTGTCATTCTTCAGAACCGGGAATGGCTGTAATGAATGAATGGTGGTGTCCGTGGTCATTAGCGGCGGCAGCGGCAGCGGCAGCAAAAACAACAGCCACATCGCTCGAAGTTCAATTGCAGCCGGGGACATGATGTAACTGTGCGAATGCCGCATAAATTAAACGTAAAAACTCACCTTTGTGTCTTTCATCTTGACAGTTAAATGCCTGTGCTGTACTGATTTTTAATGCTTATTTCTACTTTAATTTACTGTGAAAACTGCAGTGTCTGCATGAGTTTATGCTTTCCAAAAATTTAGCTTTGCTTTCAACTGTTTCGAGAGTGGCCAGACATTTCCACGTCAAGTAGTAATGTGTAGTTGATATGTAGCAAACTTGTAGTTTTCATGTAAGAATTAGTACATTTACGGTATTTTTTTTTATATTGACAAAGGTATATTTCGGTATATGTCAGTGTGCCGATTCCGCTTTTTCCGTAAATCTGGCTTTTTTTGATGAACAACTGCGGGAATAGTTTGGCAATTGCGGGAAGCGGGACTTCTGATTTTTTAGAATATTATTTGGCTTTTTCCGCTTTTTTTTATTGTACAATTTGCAACCCACCATAGTTAAGATAATCATACCCCTGGGAGGTCTTGCTAAAGAATTAAGAAGTGCCGCGATGCTTGGCTTAAAAGCGATGAATTTAAAGCTTGGGCAAGAAAGGACGATACTGATGAGCATAGGGTGTACTGCAGCTTTGAATACGGGCAACAACAAAACAGGAAGCAGCGTTGTGTCTTTTTATTGCTCAACATGCATCCATGGCACAAGTTGATCATTTGGGCAACTTGTGCAACAAACATTTTGAAGTTGGAGCTGCAGGACGAGTTAAGCTGCATCAACGAAATGCACCAGCATCATTAGAATTTTCTGGCGCGTCATTTTTCGAAGACTTGTGCAGCGATATTGGGGACTCCAAATTCAGTCTCTTACTCGACGAATCAACAGATATCAGCGTCACAAAACTACGAAGACTGGGAAAATGCTGTTTCGATTATGATGTGCCCAAAAATTATCTTCGCTTGATTGGTACGACCAAGTTGTACGATTGCGAGCCTGAAGACAATTACGCTGAGTTAGACGAATTAATGGCGGTCTTACAGTAAAAACCCTATAAAATACTACAGAAATAAAAAAATTGGTAAACCCAAAAATTACGCTTTTTTTTTGGCTTTTTTCTGTAATTTTTCAGCTTTTTTTGTGTCTTGTACAAGCCAGAAATGGCTTTTTTTCCTGATGAAAAGTTGGCAGCACTGTATATGTCTGAGGGCCTGTCAAAAAACGGCTACAACGCAAAAGCTAACCGCAACCGCATTTATAAAAAAATACGAAAGAGGTAGGTCGGAAACTGTTTTTGCACGATTAAGAGTAGCAATTGATTTAAATATTTGTGCATTGCAGCTTAAAACCTAATTGAAAATGGCTGATGAACAACCCAATCTCGTGGCTGGACACCCACCTGCTTGTAAGTGCAATTGCATAGGTATTTCTCTCCGTGAGCATGCATGTGTGTTGTGTGTGTGCGTGTGTGTAAATGTATTGGCTGTAAAATCTATTAAAGCCGCTATGGAAGTGCTTTGCTGGCAATTAATTGTGCACCCAATCACATCAATAGGCAGCAATATCTATTGCCTTATCAGTATCTTAACCTGTTTCGGCCAATGTTGATAAGAAAACGAAACAACACGCTCCCACACATGCACTTAGCAAGCGGCCTCACGCACACACTTGCAGACCTGTAGTTATTGCGACGGTGCTGTCCAAAAATACATATTTTATACATTCTGCTGACGTCATGTGCATTTCGATACTTCTATAATGTTCTATTTGACTTCCAGTGAAGGCTGGTGGTATGCGCATTGTCCAACACAAGCCCACTGCATCGGAGCGTGCCCCCAAGGATGCCGAGGATTGCACTGGTCTGACAGTAAGCGGGACCACTATATGGAAAAACTATTTGAGCACATATTACCCAACTAATTGCACATTGTAATTACAGCAACCCGTTAGCGTGAATTCGGCTGTGGTGAGCGGTGCTCCTGTAAAGGGACACACAGATTTTACGCCCGCCTCTGCCCAGGTGGCACACTTGCCCAAGCCCCCGATGTCTGTTCAGCAGAAGACCCAGAATCACATCCAACAGCCCCGCAAGTGAGGCGCATCTCCTATCACACTACATACTTTGATCTTTTGTTGAAATTCCCCAAATCCAAATGGTATTGAAATCGTCTTTGAAAGCGATTTTAGTTAACATAATGCTTATATTTTTGCTACTGCATTCCAAATGAATTTCAATATTTTGCCAATTTTATACATACTTGAATAAAGTTGTTTTTCCTTTTTGTAGATATTTATGCCTATTGGCGGCTTGTATAGCCCCACTCAATGTTTGGATAAGCTCTTCTAATTGATTCGAATTTTTGATAGCTAGTTCATTCTCTTCTGATCATGCCGGATCACGTGTGGTAGTTATCTAAATTGTTAATAATGCAAAACTGGATAAGTTCGAAGCTGTAGAAATAGTGCACACTGTTCTACTAATTCCCAAGTGCTTTTTCGCGACAATCCGCATATAAAACTGACAACTTTAGCTACTATAGTGCCTCACTGAACTTCGGTGGTCCGGGGTGCGGACTTCAAATCCGTAGTCGAAGAAATTCGAAGTGGTTCGATTCCACCTGGGGGGCGACTTTTTACAAGTCTTTATTAATTTATTTTGCCGTAACTATTTAAATTGCATTTGCTGCCTTAACTATCCAAGGTCTTAGAATAGCCACATCTGCATATACACCCGGGTAGTTATCGAGTGCACACTTGTATCCCCAGGAGACGATGCCCACCAGAAAATGGTTAACCACCAGTGGACCACCAGAGTCTCCCGTGCAGGCATCCCTCTCATCGTAGGCGGCGCAGATCGTCTCCTCCCCAACATAGTCCGAGCCGTAGCCGTAAATGCTGGAGGCGCACTGTCCTCGCTCGATGATCTGCAGCTGTACCGTTTGGAGGCTGCCGGCGTAGCTATCCTCCTGGGCTGTGTAGCCCCAACCGCTGACGGTGGCATTCGTTCCGCCTGCGGGACTTAATCTGGCCAAATTGATGGCCTTTATGGAGAGGCCGAAGCTGAGAGGTTTGGACAGACGCAGCACGGCAATATCGTAGTGGAGATACTTCAAGTCAAACTTCTCGTGGACCTTGAAGGCCGCCACAGGCACCAAAGTGCCGCCGTAGTTGTGGTGTTCGGCACCCACGCGCACCTTCATCAGAGTGACAGACTTTCCGTCCACACAGTGACCCGCCGTGATGATTATATCCTGGCTGTAGATGACGCCGCCGCACTCGTGACGCGCACTGATCTGTATGGACACCTGCCAGGGCGCATTGTGGATGGCCTGCTCAGTTCCGCCCACAATGCGTTCCTTGGTATTATCGCTGGCTGTTGTTACTCCCAGAAGGAGGAGAAGGAGGAAAACGAACGCACTGGTGGTCATGGCAGCGTACACATCGAAAGCCAAGTACAAACTGATCGAATATGAAATGGATCATAAGGCCGATCACATCGGCGCTCTTCGAAGGGTTGTAAAATTAATCGCCGGCCAATGGGAGCTTATCGCCGACTGCTCGGAAACTCGATTGGTAATGGTAATAGTAATGTACCACATTTCAGCCCCCTCACTCCACCCAAGTTGGCTGTTTGTTACCCAGGCAACAATGGGAAAACAATTCAATTGATTTTGCCATACGACTATCAACTTATTTGAGCAGCATGGACGACTTGAAGATAACGCAGGAGGAGCTGCTACGGTTGCGGGAGAGCTGTCTACAAGGCATCCGGGAGAGTGAGCTCTACCAGCTGCGGAACGATGCCAAGCTTCGGGCTGTCTACAGCACCCAGAGCTACGAAGAGTTCAAGTAAGTTTACCCTCGCCCCTCCACTTGGGTCCTAACCAAAACCAACACTTGCAGGGACATTGTAGACGCAGCTCATTTGCGTCCCGTCACCAAGGCGGACAAGGACAATGCCCACACGAAGAGTCGCCTCTGGAACTCTGCCACACGTGAATGAAACCTATCGCCCCCAATAAATACATTGGCACAGAGTAATCTTCAGCATATTGTTTTATTTCGCAAAGTCCTTAGACCGAGCCGGCGGCGCTGATCACCCAGGAGCGGAGGGCAGCAACATCGGCGTAGACTCCGGGGTAGTTGGCGTAGGCACAGCCATAGCCCCAGGACACAACACCAACGAGGACACCGCCGGAGACCAATGGGCCGCCGGAATCACCCTGGCAGGCATCCTTGCCGCTGGAAGCGGCGCAGATCATGGTGGACCTGATCTCACTGCCATAACCGTAGGTGGAGGAAGCGCACACCGACTGGCTGACGATGTTCACGTTCACGTACTGCAGGGTGGTGGGGATGGAGCTGGAGCCGTAGGACTGGGTGCCCCAGCCGGAGACGGAAGCAGCGGCGCCGTTAGCGGGAGCAGAGCTGGCCAGACCGATGGCCTTGATGGTGGAGCTGAGGGCCAGGGAGGAGCTCAGCCTTATGACGGCGATGTCATTGATCATGGTGTTGGCATTGTATCCCTCGTGGTTCTTGAAGGCGGCAACACCGACGACGGAGCCACCGGAGCTCCAGTAGGTGGAACCGGCACGGACCTGCAGGGTCGAGGCGGACACGGACTGCAGGCAGTGAGCGGCTGTCACAATGATGTTGGAGGAGTAGACCGAGCCACCGCAGGAGTGGGAACCACTGCGCTGCAGGGAGATCTGCCAGGGGAAGCTGCTGATGGTGGTGGCGGAGCCTCCAACAATGCGGCCATCCAGCTGGGGCAGGAGACCCTCTGGGATGGTGCCTCCCAGGGCGCAGGCGACAGCAGACAACAAGATCACGAACTTCAACATATTGCAAATTCAATGAGTTAAGTGGAGAACTGCTAGCCTCTTTTATAGTTGCTCACTATCTCCTCAACGCAAATTCATCAGAATTTCCCATTATTATTATCATGTGTACGTGTGGCTAAATTAGGACTCACAAAATAGAAGGGACAGTGACTTGACCATAGATATCTGGGCGCAATCTCCGATAGTAATCAAGTATATAATTCATAAGGAAGTGTGGCTTAGCATATATGTACATACATATGTACATAATTTCGATGAATTCCTAAACATTGAATTCATTTAGTACGCAGCGAAGCGCGTACCAGCAGACATGGTAACTTATAAATATGAAAAGTAGTCCCTAATTCATATAAAGATTCAACCAAGGTACATATACATAGGTACATAATTTTATTTTAAGACTTTTCATTGGTTATACAAAATGTCTATTCAAAATAACTATGCATATTTACGAAAACCAGAAGAATCCACCAAACATTCAGAGAAGACAGTTGCTCCAAAGTCCATTGATTAGAAAACCTCCTCAGAAAATAAATAGAAACGTAATGCCGGTAATAGATCATCTAAATGGAGCTATCAAAATCGCAAGGCGCGATAGAACTATGTCACTGCTGGCCGCCACTCCACAAAATTGGGAAAGTTTCCGTATCAGCATTTCGGAAAATCCCATCCCAATCACTTTATCTCAAAGGACAATATCTAGCTCTAGAATCAGTGCTTCGACTTTCGGGAAAACCGTTTCTATACCCGGTACTCGAAGAGTTAAGGAGTATATTACATATAACGCAGAGAAGGAAACGTTACCGACCACATAAGGTATATATATTCTTGATCAGCATCAATAGCCGAATCGATATAGCCATGTCCGTTTGTCCGACCACTTTGTTTGTCGCCTAGTTCTCAGAGACTATAACAGCTAGAGAAATGAATTCTTCTACGCTCCAAAAACAAAAGTAGCGCTATGTCTGAAAAATTCTTTTATCAAAATAATAAATAATAAATATAATATAATAATAAATATAATATAGTAAAATAAATAAATTGAGCGTACTAAGCTAAAATTGTATTTTTGTTTTGTTTTTTTTTATTTCAAACAATTTAACCGAGTACTTCTACTTCTCGTAAGGGCAAGATTTTGCTAAGGGGGAGGAGGATTTTTTTGAAATGATACCTAAAAAGGGATAGCTAGATTTTTAGGCGCAAAAATATAATGTGATATGTATTTAGACTTAAAAAAAAATAACCAGGAAAAATTTCCAATGTACATATGTATGTTCCCTTCGACCCTCTAGGTACACCCTCTACCACTTATATTTCTATAAAATGCAGATTTCATGGGTAATTGTCTAAAGTCATGAAAAACAAGAAGTTTCAATACATATGTAACGGAATTTCATGGGTTTTCTGATGCTCACACTCGAGTCTATTAAAATCGACGGAAAGGCGCTGGCCAAGATTATATAACCAACACCCACCGAAGCAAAATCAAGTAACCCGAGCTCTCAAATGACGAGATCAACACCCAGCAAAAACTAAAACTTAGACGTGCCAAAAGACAGGAGACCGGCACAAGGGGGCTTACGCAATGAGCACCTAAAATAATATTAAATAAATAAATATTCCTAAAAATATATTCACGAAGTTCAAACGAAATTCTTTTCCCACGGTACCGGTACACACCGATCACCTTACCTGGGACATTGGACACTTGTTGGGAGGCGATTGCGTTAGGTAACCCTCTATTACCGGGCAATCCACTCGGCAATATATATTTATGAAAAGAACCTTCAAAAATTCCCAAATAAGATAATTGTAAATAAGTGGGAAAATCGGTGCCCGGCCGATCCATAAAAGGCACTGCCTGGCCTGGAGACGAGGCAGTCGATCGGCAGTCCATCAGCCATAGCAGTCAGGCAAATAACAAACACGCAAGTCGGCAGTCCATCAGGAGTCCAGAAGTAACATACATACGCCGCGTTCAAGTAGTAAAACTAACCAATAGCAACCCGCAACAATAAACAAAACATTTAAAACTTAAAAGAACAAAAAAAGTGTTGTGATTTAGGTAGCCATTATATTTCAGCTGTTGACAAAGTTATCTTGTGATTCAGGACCCTGGACAGACTCATGCATACCTCAGCCTGAGATAGGTTCTCACAAGGTGCGGAACTTCTATTTCATTGAACCCAGCTGTACATCTTTCGAAGGACAATATTCTCTAATCAGAGGCTGCCAAAAATATTCGCACGATATTCCATATTTAGATTAATTCAAAGCCGAACGGAATGACGCAGTTGACTGAAAACTTGCGAGGAATTTCACATACACACGAGTATGATAGCGGCAATCAGTTCTGTTTCATACAAAACAACAGCCCATGACTGATTAATATATTTGACTGATTAAATGGACTTAAGGAAGAACTTGACTTGTGAATGGCGCTGAAGGGGAAATGATACTACACCATATCTTTTATACAGGTGATATATAAGCGATTGATCCCCAAAGTCCCATGCCACAGCTCTTGATATATGATACATACATATATCACCAAAGTTATCACTGATTTCAAAACTTCAAGTATGTACAAATATTATCTTAAGGTTACTCCTATTCCCAGCCATTAATAAGACTGTCCTTGTTAAGGGAACTTCGATTCAGAAATTTGAAAGGATTCCGCAAAGAAAATGTTTCTGGCTACAGCAATAGTAAAACGATATCAAATGTGCTCAAGTATTGTTTAATTTCGCAAAGTTCTTAGATCGAGTTGGCGTTGTTGATCACCCAGGAGCGGAGGACAGCAACATCGGCGTAGACTCCGGGGTAGTTGGACAAGGCGCAGCCATAGCCCCAGGACACAACACCAACGAGGACACCGCCGGAGACCAATGGGCCGCCGGAATCACCCTGGCAGGCATCCTTGCCGGTTGCCTTGGCGCAGATCATGGTGGACTTGATCTGGCTACCATAGCTGTAGCTGGAGGAAGCGCACGACGACTGGCTGACGATGTTCACGTTCACGTACTGCAGGGTAGTGGGGATGGAGCTGGAGCCGGAGGACTGGGTGCCCCAGCCGGAGACGGAAGCAGCAGCGCCATTACCGGGAGCAGAGCTGGCCAGACCGATGGTCTTGATGGTGGAGCTAAGGCCCAGGGAGGAGCTCAGCTTGATGATGGCGATGTCGTTGACCATGGTGTTGGCATTGTATCCCTCGTGGTTCCTGAAGGAAGCAACCTTGACGACGGTGCCGCCGGAGCTCCAGTAGGTGGAACCGGCACGGACCTGCAGGGTCGAGGCGGACACGGACTGCAGGCAGTGAGCGGCAGTCACAATGATGTTGGAGGAGTAGACCGAGCCACCGCAGGAGTGGGAACCACTGCGCTGCAGGGAGATCTGCCAGGGGAAGCTGCTGATGGTGGTGGCGGAGCCTCCAACAATGCGGCCATCCAGCTGGGGCAGGAGACCCTCTGGGATGGTGCCTCCCAGGGCGCAGGCGACAGCAGACAACAAGATCACGAACTTCAACATATTGCGAAATTAATACGCTGTCTGTAGAGCTGCGAGCCGCTTTTATAGGGTTTTGGCTGCTTGCCCATTCCTATCTTTTGCTATCTGACCAAACCGCAGACGGACGGAAAGCCTGTTCGAGTGGGCAGTGGGTGATAAGCTGATTAGGTGATAAGATGATTGACTTTCGGACGACACTCTCCGCGAAAGTGACGCAGCATCTACGGAGTGGAGATATAGGTGTCAATCAAGTTATTGATCTGTGTTCCTGGAACACTATATAAGCAAGGGCTAATCCCCTGGTAGTCATACAACAGCGAAACATGTTGAGATTTGTGGTACTTCTGTCGGCTATTGCCTGCGCCCTGGGTGGAACCATCCCCGAGGGCTTGCTGCCCCAGCTGGATGGCCGCATTGTCGGTGGCTATGAGACCAGCATCGAGGCCCACCCTTACCAGGTGTCCCTGCAGCGCAGCGGATCCCACTTCTGCGGTGGCTCCATCTACTCCCACGACATCGTCATCACTGCTGCTCACTGCCTGCAGTCGATTGAGGCCAAGGATCTGAAGGTCCGCGTGGGCAGCACCTACTGGCGCTCCGGCGGCAGCGTGCACTCGGTGCGTGCTTTCAGGAACCACGAGGGATACGACTCCAGGACCATGGTCAACGACATTGCCATCATCCGCATCGAGTCCGACCTGAGCTTCCGCAC